CCCCCCCCCATCTGATTTCAGTTCATTGTTTAGGTTTTGCCTACAAAACTGTAGCTCTTGGAGACGTATCTCTTCAGCTCTGTTTGTTTCACTTTAAATTCACCTGGCATGAGCAAAAGTCTTTGAGACGGTAGTGAAAGTAAAGTGATACTGTCCATATACAGTAGTGGTGATTTTATGTAGTGCAAAGGGAAAAGTACGATAAGCTTCATCACTGTGCAACCTGAAAACTATTGGAATTCAGCTAAGTACATGCAGATAAATTTAATGTCTTGGTACATTGCACACTATGCAGGCCTACTTAGGAAGATAGTTAGGCCCCAGTGAGTTTACTTAATTTGATAGAGATCATATGAGCCTTACAACAGCAAGAAGAATGCATTTTGCTTACTGAAAATTGTATATACGTACCACACAATTCCTAATTGTTACTTAAATCTCGATTCAGACCTTGAATCTGTCAAGAAATACTTTGCTTTTGGTAATTCTTAATATTCTAGTTTCTAGTAGTAGTAGCATTTTTTTTTTCCCTGATTTGCGAGTGCACAATATGAAGTATGTAAACTCATGTAGTCCCTGATTCACAGGACTGACTTACCAGCCTTTGTTGGCGTTCCTGTTACTATAATGTCCAGAAAGTGTTAACTTGGCAAAAAACTGCTTTGCTGCTTCCCCTTATCCTCACAAAACAGTCAAAATACTCAACATGTGAGTGATGGCATACGTGATGTCTCAGTAAGGAATAGAAGAGATGTCCTTCTGCTTGATTTTTAACTGAAATTTGTAAGATCAAGTTACTTGTTTATGTCTGAGCAGTTGATAATGGCAAAGAGTATGCTGCCTACTTAATAAGTTGTTTTGCTCAACAAAATTTTATTCTTTTTATTTAAAGCTGTTGGTCTCTGCAGTATGTTTGAAAGCTTTTTGTTGAATGTGGAATGTTTTTATTTTTTCCTTCCTTCCCAATTTTGCAGTTCGCTCCTTTGGTACAGAAGATAGACCAACTGATAGACCTATACCACCTCGTGATGAAGTCTTTGAGTATATTATATTCCGTGGCAGTGACATTAAAGACCTAACTGTCTGTGAGCCACCAAAGCCCCAATGTTCTTTGCCACAGGACCCTGCTATTGTTCAGGTAAGTCAAAACACATTTTTACATGTTTGTTGGTGAAGGTATAACCTGGTAGCTTTAAGTGCTCTCTAGTTGAGTGCTTAAAATGTTTGTTGCTGTAAAGTTCACAACCCAATGTAAAGAGATCTGGAAACATTTTCCTCTTTTGAATCATATCTTCAACTGTGAAAATCACGGTTGAAATCTAACTCTAGCACAATGCACTGGATACCAAAGCTGCCAATTTTTCCAAAACAGCTAATGACTTTTGGTAGACCTTGATGCCTTTTTTGAAAGGTACTTGGCTTAGGAGGACACATATGCAAGACTTCTTGGAAAGATCAGACTTGGTATAAGTCAAATGGAGTAGATGCTGAAACCTCTCCAAATCATTATTGATTTGTTTGTTTGTTTTGTTTTCTTTTGAATTTTAATGTTCAACTTTTTTTGCTGACTGTGACTTTAAAAGTGTTTCATCTAGCTATATGTTTTTAAAAAGGCTTCATGCTAAAAGGTGGTTATTTAAAAAGGGAATATTTGGTTGCAGAAGGGAAAGCAACTTACAACTTGAAGCCTTCGGGGTTAATTCATCTGTTATTTCATAGTAGATAGACTGACAGAAATAGTTATTTTTGATCTCTGAAATTTGTTGGCTTGTTGATTGTATTTGTGGGGTGTCTTAAAATCATCCCTGACAGCAAGATGGAAATTCTTGGTCCAAACAGAACTTGGTAATTCCGTGTAAGTGTTTACGTTTCTAATGTTTAACTATTCCATCAGATAAAATTCTTGATACTTCCTTACAAAGTGCCCTTGCGATCCTCTAAGGTCTTTTGCTAAATTTGGTGCAACTCCTTCTGTCAGTGGTAGTTGAGAGCTGTGGGATTGCATTACTGCTAACCCCAATAATAGTAAGAACCCCACCCTCCTCCAGTACGTTTGGGTCTTTCACTGTTCCAGTAGTTTTTGAAACTTCAGGGAAAAAGATACAACATTTTCCGAGCTTGCCAACAAAAGCTTATACATGTGTTTGACAAAAGAGTCTGGTATCTGAGGTTCTAGGGAAAAGAGTGTAAAATTTTATGGTACTTTTTTCACAATTTTGCGATACTGGAGGAGTAAAAGTGCTTTCTAAAGTGTATACATACTTGTGAAAATGTTTTCTGCTAACTGTTGTCTGTTTTGAGTTTTCATGTAGAGTAATGTGTGTAATTTATTACTTTTGTGCTGTCTTCCGTGTTAAAGCGGTTAAATTCTGATATTAAAGGAAGCAACTTTATGAATGTTAAGGTCTTGTGTACGTATTAGCCACAGTGGTGGTGTCAGGGTGAATTTAACAAATAGTTTTAGAGTTTCTTGCCTTGCAGAACTATTTCCTACTTTTTGTGTAAACATGAATTTCTGCAAGTGTGTTTTGTCTTTAGTCTTCATTAGGTTCTTCAACTACATCTTCATTCCAGTCTGTGGGGTCCTATGGTCCTTTTGGCAGAATGCCTGCGTACAGTCAGTTTAGTCCAAGCCCGCTGGTGGGGCAGCAGTTCGGCGCTGTTGGAGTTGGTATGTTCATTTTTATTATTTGGTGTTTTCCTGTAAGTGAAGTTGCATGTGTGTGCATACACAGTGATCAGTGCTATAATTCCATCAATGTCTTATCCTAAGGGCAGATCCAAAGTCTTCAGTCTGTATCAGTCCCACAGTTTAGCTTAAAGTAGAGTTTTTCATTGTCTTTGCAGCTCAAATCGAAGCAATTATGATTGAGAACTAAACACCCTGTCTCAGAGGGACGAGTGAGGAAAGGTTCCCATATTCATTAACTTATTCTATTTCATATATATTCATTACATTCATCATGTATTCATTCTGTTTCACAAGTGGTAGGGGCAGCTCCTCCACAAAAGCCCCATAGCTGTGATGTTGACATCTGGTATCCCAGGTTGACCAGGCGGTGCGTGCTTTAACCAGTGGTTTGGGTTATTCAGCAATCTGTGTGCCAGCAGAGTCCTCCAGCTATTTGTGAGATGTTAGCTTGGCATAAAGTACATGCTTTAAGTATTTGTGAGCTGCGTGAGTGAGTTGCTCCTTTATACTGCAGATGCTCTCCGAGACTCACCAACCAACATTCATTCCTCCTTTAAAAGTTTTTAATTTCACCTTTTAGTTTTTCACTTAGGAAGTAACGTTCTTGTAACTGTTACAGCAGCAGTGTTACTCCTGGTACTGAAAATGTTAGCCATGTGGAAGGAAATCTGTAGCATTGGCCATAATTTGGTATCAGTTAATAAGATGTGACAGTCGTATTTTTGTTTAAAACATGTTAAGTGGAAATACATACCAACAACATTTGTTTATTACTTTGTAAGATGCTATCATGACTATGCTATGCTAATACTTGTTATGTTCAAGTTAGCAGTGCTCTTTTTAGATAAAAAGCATCAAGATATTATAGTTTAACCAACTTACTACAAATACGTACATTACGTTGAACTGTGTATACACTGAAGTGTATGGGAAGGGGAGACTTAAGTATATTCTAGAATAACTGCCTAATATGGTTTCGCTAGTCATTTAGGGCTGATTTAAAAAAAAAATACAGAAAAAAGTCAAAATCAGGTTTTACAACTGTATTATTTCTTTCAAAGCAGGAGGTTCTTTAACATCTTTTGGAACAGACTCTTCAGCCAGTGCTAGCATGTCCCAAAGCACTGCAGTTGGTTCTGCATTTACAACAGATGCAAGATCACTAAAAACACAGATGTCTCAAGGTAAATCTTTTTTAATGACTCTCTGATCTTTTTTGACCAATCGTGCCCCTGTGACTTAGGTGGTTGTGAGAAATGCTAACCAAACAGCTGAATTCTGTCTTGAAAACACTTAGTATAAAAACCAGAAAGCACTGAGAGGCTTTTTACTTGCTCTTTAAATATGTTTTCCTACGTCTTGGCATGCTGCATAGATAACTGTTAGCAATGCAGTTATTATCCTTAAAGCATCTGTATTGAGGAGTAGGACTTAGTTCAGTCGAATAATGTTAGCAAATAGGTGCAGATGGAAATTTAATATCTAGTTTTATTGATAGCACAACAAAACTAAAGATACTTCATGCTGATTGAATTGTGAAGTCCATCAACGTACAATTTTAAAATCTTTATTCCTAACAGTATTTTTTGTTAATGTATATTTACATAAATAATACTAATAACAGACCTGATTGCCTGTAGAGATAGTGACATGACAGTTAAGTCAGCTTAATAGTAATAGAAACTGTTTGGGTAGTTTCTGTAATACTGGAAAAAGAAAGTAAAAGCAAAAAGGAAATTCTTGATGCTTTTTGAGTGGCAAAGAAAAAAGAAACTAAATGTTGAGCACCTCACCCTTGCTTTTAATGCAAATGTATTAAGATTGTTCCTCAAAATCCAAAAGATACTATTTCCTGCTCTTCCAGTTACACACTGTGAGTAAAAGTATGTGCAAAAACATATTCCTAATGCTATTTTTAAGTTTATGCAGTTGTGTTAAAAGGCAAAATACTTTACTTACAGCAAACAGTTTTTTCACTAAATTCTAGCTGAGATTTGTATACCAATGAGGAGTGCTTTCTAGAATTAGTTGAGTGGATTACCAAAAATAGGTTCTACTTTGTTGCATTAATTGAAGGGGGAAAAAAAGTATGCTGAGCATTTACTGTTTTTCTGCTGAAAGATTAGCTTGGTTTTCTATAGGTGAAATTAAAACCTGTATGTTTCTTGGGCTTAACATATGATGTATGTTCCAGATTAACATACATTCTGCCACAAAATTTCCTGTGGGACCCGAAAAAGTTTTTTCTGTGTGTGTTTGCTTTTAAAAATATTTGTCATCTTTGTAGATTCTAAGTGTGGTGTGGTTGGATTTGATTTTTTGTTTTGTGGTGTGGGGTTTTTTTTTAATTTGTTTAGCTTTTTTTATGGGATACGATGTTACTCTTCTGTTTTACTTGCTGAGTCTTACTCTAATTTCTTAGTAGATTTACCTACATGGTGTCATAAACTTGTCTGGCCGGATCAAATGTCTCTGTTCTAAACATGCTTCTGGCTCCAGTCACTCATGCTGCAAATTGAAATGTATGAGTGGTACTTTGTGGGGAAGCTTTCATAGCTCCTTCATCTGCATTATGCCTGGCACTAGCCATCAATGTTCATTTATTTAGTGGTGATCATACAACAGAGTGCGCTAGATGAAACGAAATTTCGGTATCAGAACTATGTCTCTGCCTTTGGGAGCAGTCACTTTCCACTTGGGTTTCCAGGGAGGCAGAAATTTTGGTATCATATCTCTGCCTTTGGGAACAGTCGTTTTCCACTTGCGTTTCCAGGGAGGCAGAAAGAGTATTTTTACCTCCAATCAAAAAATTTCATTCCATAGCTAAATGCACATCATGGATGGGTTGGTAGGGATTAATTGTCCTACCCATTTTTTTCTTTTAGACTGGGGGAAGGGGAATTGCTAAATATCCTTCATTCTGGATTAGTGGATCTGAGGGTGCAGAAATATTTATTTCTTCTTTGGACACAGCTGTGTTGACTGGTAAGACAGTGAAATCTGTCAGTCTAGATTGGTTGAGACCAGTAATTCAAACTTGTAGATGAGAAATAACTCTTTGGGTTTTGGTTTGGTTTTGTCTTTTTCCCAGGTCGTTCGAGCCCTCAGATAGATCATTTGAGAAGGAGCCCCACCATGGAACAAGCAGTACAAACAGCTTCAGCCCACTTGCCTACTCCGGCACCAGTTGGGAGGAGTCCTGTACCAGCTAGACCTTTGGTGTCTGCTAGCCAAAAATCGTTAGAGAATCAAGAGCACAGACGAGGTAGCTTTGGATAACTTTCATACGGCTGCTTTTCTTCCATATACATATGAAGTGCTCCTTTTAAGGGCAATGTTTAGGAGTTTCCTGCTGTCCATTACTGGTAGACTGGCCAGCAGAGACCTGGATTATATATATTTCTTTTTAAAGTCAAGCATATATTCTAATTTTTTTTTTTTCCTTTTATGAGTTAAACTTTACTTCTATAGGTTTGGATTCTTTTGAAATCTGAGCTATATAACTATATACAAAAGTATGATCAAAAATACCTAATTGGATAAACAAATAATTTTTTTATTTCCAACTTTAGCTGAAGCACACAAGGTTTCAAGATCAGAAAATGAACTCAGAAATGAAAACAAACGACAAATTGGTAAATCTTGTTTTGAGAAATAGCTATAATTGTTTTCAGACTTCAATAAGTTTTTTAAAAGTCTGCTAAAATACAGCACTGTGTATAGTCTGCGAAGTGCTAGGACTTTGTTTCTAACGTCCAGAAATCTTGCAGTTCAGATTACGGTAATAAAGAATTTACGTATTTAGAATACTTTCACATAATTGTTTCTAGTGAGTAACAATAACTTTGCCTTGGGTCAGAATAATACAAGCACAAAAAGTCAACATTAAAAAGAAAAATCTCTTCTGGTTGCTCTATATTAAGATGAGTATTCGTGGATTTATAAACATAACAGCATGCAATAAAACCTCTTACTTTTCTATGAGAATACTTCACTGAAAAGCCACTAACATTTCAACTCTTCTTCTGAAAGCTTTTAGTGACTTCTAGAAGTCTTTAGTACCCAAGTTTAGTACTGTTATGCTTTCTGTGTCACTGCCATAATTATTATAAGTGAATTTACAAATTACAAGCTGCTCCGACATGACTTTTAACAACAGACGTGCTGCAGGAAGAGGATGCATGAAGTCCAAACCTGTTACCCCAGGAATTAAAAAAACAAAACAAAAAACCCCACCCAAAAAAACAACCACCCTCAGCACCCTCAAAGGAAAAACAATCCACTAAATAAAAACAAACAGAATTTCCCTCTTTTCAGTTCCAGGTGGACCTTCAGCACGGAGAGGCCGTGGAGGTCACAGAGGGGGTCGAGGAAGGTTTGGTATTAGAAGGGATGGTCCAATGAAGTTTGAGAAGGACTTTGACTTTGAAAGTGCAAATGCACAATTCAACAAGGAGGAAATTGATAGAGAATTTCATAATAAACTTAAACTAAAAGGTAAACCAATTTTTGCTTTAGATTTGAGCATGGAAAAACTGTGTCTTGCTGTTTTACTCCTACCTTGGAGAACAACTTTTAAAGGGCATATCCTATTAAATTTTGTTTGCAGTCGTTTAAAAAAAAAAAAACACTTTTTTAAAAGTCAATGAACAAGTAAACTGGGATCATCTGTTTAATTAAATACTTGGGTCAATATTTGTGTTCTGAAAGAATTTTAACTAGCAAATATTATACATCATGTTCTAACAAGTCTGTTGCTTAAAAATGCAGATTACTTGAGCAGAAGTCCCGACAGCGTGAGTTTACTTTTGAGTTCTGGAAAAGATGCAATAAAAGAAAACCTGTATTTTGTGTTTTCGATTATTAATAGACCAAAAGCAATCACAAAAACATGAGTTTGGGATCAGACCTTTGCTGGAGGATGCACAAGAGTTTCAGTTTAAGAAAGTTTCTCATGTTTCTCTGCTTTTACCCTTTTCCAAGGAAACACAGGAGTAGTTCAAATCCATACTTCTATTTTGTTTTCCAGCAGGTTTCTGTTTTAATTACATCATTCTCTTGTGACCAGCCACCTGTTAGTTACTCTGCTGCTACTATTTTTGGACAAAATTGTTACAGGTTAAAATAGGAAGTTCCCTGTTTCAGTAAATGATTGGCTAAAAGCTGAGAAACAAAAGGTAGGAATAAATGGTCAGATTTCAGTGTAGAGAAAAACCACCAGTCGAGTCCCATATGATTTGTTCTCTGGTGCTTGCCTCTTTCTGGATCATTTTTAAGAGTTGACAGTTTGCTGTTGATACTAATTTTTTTTAGAATAGTAAAGAGGAAAGGGAAAGCTAACCATAAAGAGCTATAGAAATATTTTGAGACAGAGTAGCAGTTTTTGTGTATGTCGTGGAAAGGTTGAGCTGGTTATCTGAGGTTTATGCACAACATCATGAGATTTAAGCTGTAAGCATTTAGGAATTTAGTTCTGTTGAACCATCAACTTCTTTTTCAGTACCATTCAAAACAGTAAGTTAAACTTCAGGCACTATTAGGAAAGAAGTATATTATAAAGTCAGTTTGTGGCATGATATCTTGAACGCTGACCTTGTGTCTCAAAGAAATAACAGCAAAGCCAGAAGATGAAGGAGAAGGGCAACAGGGATGAGCAAAACCATGAAATGGCTTTTATGAGGAACTGACTGAGTGAGGCTTTTAAGTCTGGAAAGGAGGTAGCTAGAAGAATAGAAAATAGGTGGCTGTCAAATCCATTCTACCACATGGTTTTTTTGTTAATTAAACCCACAGAGAATATAGAGGATATCAAATCTCCAGACAGCAGCAGCAAAACATCTGAATTTGTGTCGAATTATTTGACTTCTACATTAAATTTTGGAGGGATTTTTGTACTTTTCAGCATTCAGTAGTTTCTGTCTGTCTGTATAAGTTAACAGTGCTATTTTGTTCAGTATGATGGTCTGGAAGGCTTCTGTTTTACTTTTATTTTCCAGAAGATAAACTTGAGAAACCAGAGAAGCCTGTAAATGGAGAAGACAAAGGTGACTCAGGTGTTGATACCCAAAATAGCGAAGGCAATGCAGATGAGGAAGATCCACTTGGACCCAACTGCTACTATGACAAAACCAAATCCTTCTTTGATAACATCTCCTGTGATGACAATAGGTATGGCCTGCAAGGGGAAGCTTTTTAGTCTACTTAATGTGTGTTTATGTCATAAGGTAGTGTCAGCACTACTCATTACAATCGACTCTGAATTGAAAGTGAGCAAAGCTTATTTCCACGTGTGGTGGGCAAAAATAAAACAGGAATATGAAGCACAAAATTTCTTTGTGGGCAAGTGCAATACATTAATAGGAAGACATTTTCAAATACTGTTTTAGAACCATTCTTCTAGAACTTAGTGTACGTACTCTAGAATCTCCTTGTCAGATTTGGGGGTTTTGATTTGTTTTGCTACTAAATTAGCAGTTCGGTTAAATCAGTTATGACTGTGCTTTGGTAATGGTTTCTAAGTAGATCACGTAACCATCTTGGCCAGTAGTGTTGCTTGAATGGGAACGTAGCATTTCAGGAAAATTCAAGCTTATCTTCTGCAGTTGCCTTTTCATTCGACAAGATTATGTGGATTGCTGACCTATTTTGAGTTACCGGGGCGGGGGATTGTTCTGTTGTACTGACAGCTAGATGAAATAACATCTGTAACTGTGAACCCTTACTTTTTGTTTCTTGTTTTAAACTGCAGACAGCTTTAATTTAATTATATGACGCTCTGTGCAGAGGATACAGGCTGTTTCCTTCTGTATGGGAATCTCCTACAGCATTATTAATACATAATTAATGATACTGTAACATATCCCTTTTCGTTGACTTAAATGAATTGTGGCAGACACCTAGATTCTTGCAGAAGGGATAATGTGGAGATTTACAATGTGATTAATGTATCATTTTTCATTTCATGGGCTTTCTGGTGATTCTAACTAGGCCAGGCAATCTTCCTTCTGAAGTGTGTTTTAAAACAATCCTTGTTCCTTTTGTGTGGCAGAGAACGACGACCCACCTGGGCTGAGGAAAGAAGATTAAATGCAGAGACCTTCGGAATACCACTGCGTCCAAATCGTGGCCGTGGAGGGTATAGAGGCAGAGGGGGGATTGGCTTCCGAGGTGGAAGAGGACGAGGAGGTGGAAGAGGTGGCTTCGCTGCCCCCCGAGGATTTCGTGGTGGATTCAGAGGAGGTCGTGGAGGCAGGGAGTTTGCTGACTTTGAATATAGGGTAAAATATATCTAATGTTACTATGACCTGATCCACTGTTGTTGGAAACTAGTGGTAAAAAACCACATACTTTTAGATTTGATGTTGAACTAGAATTTCCTGAGTAGTATTTTGCAGGTACTCTGAGCTACTTGATTGAAAGCCCATCAATGCTGAAATTTTGGTTACATAGCATCATTTTACTATCCACAGCAACCAAAACTAAAAGCTACCTTTCTTCACATGCCCTAAATATTTGTTCTGTAGCTGGAATTGGAGGAGAGGGAAGGAGAAAAAAGTAAAAGTTCTGCAGATTTAGTACAAGTGTTAGTGTTAGAAATATGACTTGCAAGCATTTTCCTAAGCAATATGGTGAAATCTAAAGATTGAGAGGAAATAATTTCACTTGTTTCTAGTATGCAATAAACTTTTTTCAGTTCTTTTGTGAGTGAGTTGGCACAAAGCCTATGGACTTCTAAGATCCTGTATAACCCCTGAAATAGAGTAATTGAAGGTGCTGAAGCATGGTGATGACCCTTTGCAAAAAGGAAGATAAAAATATTTAAGTTCTGTAAGGTCCTGTTACTTTTAAACTATAACTTCGTAATTAGATCCAGTAGCTGTTGTGAAAGCTAAGGCAGGATTGACTTTTTTTGGCCAGTCATTCAGTAAAAAGGAGCTGTGGGAGATGGGGCATAAAAGCATCAAAAGAAGAGACCTGTCCATCCCGTAGAGAAAGTATTTTTAAAAGATTAAAATGAGTACTACTACTTTATTTTTTGTTAAATATGAATGAAACTTAAAGTTCCTTTAAGCATTATGCACAAGCTACCACTTAAGTTTGCTAACTGAAGTAACCTGACGTGCAAACATACTTTCATAATCACCTGATAGAAATAGTAACTTGTTCTGTAAGAGCTATGGTGGCTAAAAAGCAGAATCTTCATTTACAGTGTAGTTACGCAATTTGTGGCTTTTGCAACGCCATTAAGGTAGCCATTTCTGTGTTTTCTGTTGAAGATCTTAACTCTTCTCCCTACCAGCTGTTCAGAGTGAGGACAAAATTACTTGTCAGCCCCAGCTAGGGAAGTGATGCGTTCTGGGGTAGCGGAATCTATGGGGCACTTCCTTTTTCTGGGAAACAATGTAAATTCTCCTCTTTACGAAAGCTCATTAATTGTGCAGATTATGTAAATCAGCAGAGCTCAGTTACCCTCAAAACCAAAATCTTTTAACAATTTCAATGCAAGCCATTTTTCTTGGCATTAAGCGTCTATATTCAACTTGAATGTTAGCTTGTTAAGGAACAGAAATAATACCGGCATAGGGTTTAGAATCAGTAACAAATACCGTTAACCAGACTGGTGCAAGTAAATGTAGGCTTTTCCAATTCTGACGGGGACAGAAGAATCTTTTCTGGTACTTTACCGCATAAGCATTTAAGACTTTCGCAACACAAACCCTTTGTTTTCTGTTTGAAGATGTAAATAATTAAAAAAAAAAAAAAGAGGGGGAAGCCTTTTTTCATCACAGAAGATTTCTGACTGTCCCTCGGTTATTCCTTCATTAGCTTGCAATGATTAGTCCTGCGACCTAAAGAAATTTTTGGTACCTGAGGATGAATTGAAATGAGGGGTTGCAGATCAAAGTGTTGAATTTCTGAGTGAAAGAATTTCGCAGCCTTCCAGATACGTAGGAGGTGGTGTAAAGGGCGAGGATTTGTGCCGTGCATCTAGTCAAAGTGACGAGCTGCTTCAGTGAGTGCCAGGCTGAGGGTGTTTTGACCGGGTGCGAACCTGATCACACCGGGAGGTCTGCCTTCTGATTGCAGAAGGTTGGAAGTAACCATCACCATGCATCTTCTCCCAGTGCTGTTGCCCAGATTAACTTGTGATTTTTGTTTTGCAAAATTAATTTTAACATTGTACTGTTGTTCCCTCTAGAAAGACAACAAAGTTGCTGCATAGTCTACAAGACAGCTGAAACCGGGTGAACGTCTAGATCTTCTTGATCCAGAGAATTAGTTTCAGTCTCTGCAAAGAATGAAGTTAATTTGCTGTATACTTGTCACCAGCACTGGGATTTGACTATTTAATTTCAAAGGGGTGTAATGCAGTTACTTTTGAAAAATGGCCATCTTTGAAAACAGTGAGCATTAAATATATTTGAGACAGAAGGATAAGTAATTTCTTATGTATAGTTAATTATAAAGCAGTACTTCGATGGAGTTTAAGTATTTTTTCATCACTGAAAGGATTTTTCTTATTGCTAAACTGTATTTGATAATTGCTTCAAGTTGTAAGGACAATTGTATGCAGAAGGCCGTCGATACTGTGAGTGTTTTGATCCACCGGAGGTTGTTTTTTGGAAATCCTGTAATATCCCTTTTGAGATAGTTGTACTTTTATCAACTAGGGTGCTGGACAGTAGAAAACTTGCTTTGTCAGTCAAATATGTACACACAGTAAATACTGTTTCTTAGGCAAAGGAAACTTTTTATATAGTTGTAAAATTCCATTATATCCCATTGCCAAAGAAACATTACAAACTTTGTATAGCTGTATAAAAAGCAACTAATTTTTTAAAGAATAAACATTTTTAAGTCGGCAAACATACTGTGTTATTGCAAAAGTTGATATGCTGAAGAACACTGAATTAGTTGGGTTTTTTTTCTTTAGCAGCTTTTCAGGCTTAAATGTTTGATTTTATATTTGGAATATAATGAAGATTTGAAAATGTTTTTCCATCACACAAAACTGGATACACTCTTCACTTCTCTTGCAAGAATTTGATTTTGTAGTTTCTGGCATATCACAGGATTTGACCAAATTAAGGAGATATTTTCAAATAAGGAGAAAAGAAGTTTTCGTATGTCAAAATTTGCAGTTAATTTTACTTAGTGATAAATATTAACTTTTTTTAATAATGGACCAGGCACAGGAGTTCGTGATTCTCCCAGAATGCCTGGGACAAAAGGATGTCTCCATTTGTCAATTCTTGAAATGTTAACTTTGTTGTAATACCTGTAGACATAAGCAATTTAAAAAATTCTTAGTGTTTGAAGTTGTTTGCGTTTTGATAGACCATAGCTTGGAGACATTAAGAGTCTGGTTCTAAGACCGTGAAGTCACAAATGACATAGTATGGACTTTTTGCCAATTCCTGAATGACTAGTTACAACTTTTTGATATGCTGAAATAGCAACCTGGTCGTTTGTGTCTGTATATGTATATGAAGGCCGCAGGAATAAAGGGATCCAAAGATTAAAACATTTTGATCTAATTTGCTGATTTTCTTTTTTTTTTTTTTTACTTCAAAATGTTCAGTGGTGATAAAGATGTGGAAGACTGCACTGTTGGAAAATTGGAATATTTAAAAGTGGTTGATAGAATCTTAATTTTATAACTTTTGTATAGCACTACAAGGAAGTATTTTGTAATTGGTTTCCTTATTAAGGTCAAGTATTTGGCAACCGTAGAAGTTAGATAATATTGTTTAGTAATGTTTTTTGCATGTTAACAACAACGCCTTTTGGGATCCACGAATCATGATTCTGAGCAACCGTGGAGGTTTTTGACCGTAGAGGCAATAAGGCTGTATCCTGTGCGAGGTGTCCCGGGCTTATTTAAACACGATGAACTGTAAATACCAGCGCTCCCTGCTGCCAGGGGGTACGCGGGGGCGGCGGCGGGGCGTTACCGTCAGTGTACCTTGCTCCACGGAACTGGGGGGTTCTCCGTTTTTTATTTTAAACCAGAATAAACTGTTCAATAAAATCACTCTTTGGGGCTTATTTCTTGTGGCTCAGGGTGCTGCTCTGGTAGGAGGAGGGGTAGGGCTTCGGTTTTCTGCCGAAGGGGACACGAAGAGCGGGGGACTGGGCCGAGCGCCCTTCCCCGGTCCGTGCTCCCGAGGGAGGGGCCGCGCCGGCCGAACGCGTGGTCGCT